CTATTCAGGCTTTCTATGTCCTCCTGATTCAATCTTGGTCAATTATATGTGTCCAAGAATTTGTCCATATCATCCAGGTTCTCTTGTTTGTTGGCATATAGTCACTCATAGTATTCTCTAATGATATTTTGTATTTCTATTGTGTCTGTCTTAATACTGCCTGTCTCATTGCAAATTTGATTTATCTAGTTCTTTCTTAAGCATTCTAGCTAATTGTATGTCAATCTTGTTTATCTTTTTACAGAATCAGTTCTTTTATTTATTTCATGTATAGTTTGTTTATTTTCTATTTCATTTCTTGCTGCTCAAATCTATTATTTTTTATCTCCCAGCATTTTTTATTTTTTTAGTTTTAGTTTTTTATTTTTAATTCTCTGAGGCATTCGTCCAGGTTCTCTTGTTTGTTGGCATATAGTCGCTCATAGTATTCTATAATGATATTTTGTAGTTCTATTGTGTTTGTCGTAATACTGCCTGTTTCATTGCAAATTTGATTTATCTAGTTCCTTCTTAATCATTCTAGCTAATTGTATGTCAATTTTGTTTATCTTTTTACAGAATCAGTTCCTGTATTTATTTTGTGTATAGTTTGTTTATTTTCTATTTCATTTCTTGCTGCTCAAATCTATTATTTTTTATCTCCCAGAATTTTTTTTATTTTTTTATTTTTTGTTTTTTATTTTGAATTCTCTAAGGCATGATGTTAGATTGTACATTTGCCACCTTTCTTTTTTTCTTCTGTGCACTAATTATTATGTACTTACCTCTTATGACTGCCTCTGCTGTGTCCCATAAATTATAGGAACTCATCTACTCTTTATCATTGGTTTCCATGAATCTTTTGATTTCAGTATTAATTTTTTCAGTGGTTGTGAAGTCATATAGGAATACATTGTTTAGTTTCCATGTGCTTGTGTATTGTCAATGATTATTCCTGAAATTAATATCAAGTTGCAGTCCATCATAGTCAGAGAAGATCCTGGATATAGTTTCTATGCCTTTGAACCTGTAAAGGCTTGATGTGTGCTCTATTCAAATGGTCAATCTTCAAAAAGGTTCCATGTTGGGGTGAGAATAATGTACATTTTATGGCTTGGGGGTGGAATGTTGTGTAAATATCAGTCAATTCTATTTGATTTATGATATCATTTAGGTTCTGTATCTATTTGCTAATTTTTTTTTCTATATGATCGATCTAAAGGAGGTAATGGAGTGTTCAGATTCCCAACATTTAGTGTTGCATCCTATCTGTCCTTTTAGATCTAGCAGTCTTTCCTTCATGTATTTTGGTGTTCCTGAGTTGAATGCATAGATATTTATAAGTGTTATGTCTTCTTGATGATTAGCCCTTTTACTACTACATAATGCCCTTCTTTGTCTCTTCTTATAGTTTTCATAATAAAGCCTATTTTGTCTGAAATCAGTTTAGTGACTCTAGCCCTTTTTTTATTTTTGTTTGCAACCTTTACCCTGACCTTCATTTTTAGTCTGTCTACATTTTTATCCATGAGCTATAGTTCTTGTAGGTGACAGATAGAGGCTTTCTGTTTTTTTAATCCATTAAGCCAGTCTGAGTCTCTTGATTAGAGATTTTAATTCATTAATATTGAACATTATTATTGATATTTACAGACTTGTTCTTTTCTTTATGTTGGCTAATTTCTTAGTTGTTTTTTGTTCTATGATTTCTGTCTGTCTGACTAGTTTTTCTGGTGTAGCACTCTGGAGTTGTTAAATTGTTTCAGATTTTGTTTATCTGAGAATGTTTTTATCTTTTCTTCCCATATGAAGGATAATCTTGCTGGGTCTAGTAATCTTGGTTGAAATTGTTTCCATTTAGCACTTTGAATATATATATCCCCATCCTTTCCTTGATGTATTCTTTCCAATGAGAGGTCTGATATTTGCCCGATGGGAAAATCATTGTAAGTACCTTGATATTTCTCTCTTGACAATTTTTTTTATCATGATTTTGCCTGTGGTTTTGGTCAACCTGGCTAAGTGTCTTGGAAAAGATTTTCTTGGGTTGATTCTATTTGGGGTTCTTTGAATTTCTCATGTCTGAATATTTGAATATGTCTCTAGGTTTGGAAAGTCTTTTTCCACAATTTCATGGAATAGATTATTAATGCCCTTACTATTTTGTTCACCTTCTGGGATACCAATTATCCAGATGTTTGGGCGCTTGTAGATATCTAGTATTTCTCATATATTGCCCTCATTTTTCCTAATTATATTCTCAGTCTTTTTGGTGATTTTTCTTAGGTCAGAGGTTTTTTTCTTCTATATCTGAGATTTGATCTTCTGCATAATCTCATCTGCTTTTGGTTGTTGTTGTTTTTAGAGAGTTTTTTTTGCTATACAGCTTTTGCGGTTGCTGGAGAGATTCCCCCAGGGGGGATGGTCACACCGCAATCCCTTCTCCTCCATTCTCCTCTCGGGATCTTGGGCACGCACTCACACGTGCCTGGCATGAGTTTTAAGCCACCGGGTCCGGGACACGAACCGCGGTCGACTACGTGGGAGTCCCAGCAACATAGCCATTACGCTAACTGCTGGTTCCCTCTTTTTGGTAATTTTTCTTAGGTCAGAGGTTTTTTTCTTTGACATCTGAGATTCGGTTTTCTGCACAATCTCATCTGCTTTTAGTTTTTTTTTTTTTTTTTTAAAGATTTTTTTTTTTTTTTTTTTTTTTTTTTTTTGCTATTCAGCTTTTGCAGTTGCTGGAGAGATTGAGAAAAAGAAAGCAAGAAATCACCCTTTCTCTGGGGGAGATTACAATGCTGCAACACCTTCTCTTTCATTCTTCTCTCAGGGTTTTTGGCACACATGCACACTCATCTAGTATGTCTTAAACAGCCAGGTCTGGGACTTGAACCATAGTAGACTACATGAGAGTTCAGTGATTAAACTATTATACCATCTGCTGAGCCCCTCTATTCTGCATTTCATACTTTCAATGGAGGTTTTGACTTTCTGTATTACCACCTTCATTGCTAACAATTTCACTTGATTATTTTTTATGGTGTCAGTTTCTTCTTTGAAATCATGGAATCATTTTCTCATCTTCTGGATCTTCTGGAGTTCATTGTCTCTTTTCTCTTGCATCTCATTTAGCTTTTTCAACTATAAATATTCTGAATTTTTATATGACATTTCTACAAGTTCCATTGTATTGCCTGTGAATGATGAGAAATTGATATTTTTCCATGGGGTAGTTATATTTTGGTTTCTCATATTTTGTATATCTCTGCGATAGTTTCTGGTCATCTGGTGAATTACACATTTCTTCCTAAATTCTTTGAGTTACTTCTGAATGTTTAAAGATGTGAGAGAAGGTGATTGGCAATTTCTCTGTTTTGCTGCCTCTTTGATGTTCACCAGCAATCTGCACTGTTGTTGCTGTACCCGGATAATTCAAAATTCTCTCAATTACTAGAGAACAGGTGCACCTGGGACTGAGCTGCTGAGCTTAAATTTGGGAAGACAGAAGGTGTGTGTGCTGCACACTTCAGGAAATGCTGAAATTTGAGAATTCAGAGGCATGTGGCTGAGGATGATTTATGATCTCTGCAGCTCAGCCACCCGACCGCTTACTATACAAAAAGGCCATCACTTGGATGGCTGTCCCAATTGTGCATGGAATGGGAAAAGAGGAATTATCCAAGTCCCAATTCTTTAAAAGATCAGTTTAAAATTCAAGAGTTTTAAATTTGTGTTTTGTCATAATTTCTTGTAATGTCACATGGCAATCATTCTTACAAAAAGCAAAAACAAACAAACTAAAAACCCCTACCCTCATAAAAAAGGGCCAACTCTGTGGACATGTAATTAGGCAACTGGATCCCATACGGTCTACCAAATAGAATAGATCCCAATCCAGATTCTTGAGAAACATGCTGTGCATGTGTTCATGCATGCACAAAATTCTGAAAGGAAGGGGAGATGAGCATGTGGGGATTGTGGCATGGATATTTCTCATGGGGACTAGTTTCTTCCCTCCTTCTCTGTTTGTCTCTATTTCTTTCTTAAAAGTTCATGTTCTCCCTACCAATTTTTTTTTAAAAGGAAAGAAAATGCATGTGTTCTCTTCTAGAAAGCCTTATTGTAATGTGCTTAATATTTTAAAAGTTGACCATAGTTAATAGCTATATTAAGATGAATGTGGACATATGCATATATTTGTACTATCATCAGCACTATTAAGAAACTAAATCAAGGCTGGCAGGGGGCATGTTGGTTAAGGGCACTGGACTCCCACATGACCAACTGTGGTTTGAGTCCTGGCTTGATTTTTCACTTTCTCTCTCACTCTCTCTGTCCCTCTGGTCAAAATAAAATAAATAATTAAAATAAAGTGAAATAAAATGATTCTTTTTAAAAAAAGAAAAGAAGAAAAGAAACTAAATCTATCCATGCATATTGCATTATTCATGAAGTACCAAGACTAGCTCTTTATTTCTTGGGAGATTTTTGCTATAGGATTCCTGTGCTTGCCAGAGACTAAGAGCAAGATAGAGAGACAGAAAGTGAGAAATCACCACCCCCACCCCCACCCCAGGGTTCATGATCAGATCAAAATCCCTTCTCCTCCATTTTCCTCTTGGGATTCTGGGCACACATGTGCATGTGTCTGTCATGACTTTCAAACTAGGACTCCAACTGCTGTTGGCCACGTGGGAGTTCAGCAATGTAACCTTTCTGCCATCTGCTGGTCCCCCAGGACTAGCTGTTAAGAAGCCCTAAATTTAATAAATATGGATTTTACCAGTCTAGACACAAATTGTCCTTTGAGAAACATCTGGAATTTTTCTGAGAAGATACAATTACCCTTCAATTGTTTCCATGAAGGAGAGAGTTCATGTCACATGAGCAAGAGATGGATACACCCACAACATAATTCTATCGGAGTTGGGAATGTAATTATTACCAAGATAGATATAAATCTTCCACCTCTGAATTAAATACACTCCTTATTTCTAATATTGCCTCTCATCTAGCTTCATCCATTTATGAAGAAAAGCCAATTTACAAACAGCACTGGGTATAACCTGTCCCTTGATGACACAAATTTGGCACAGTATGATATCCACAACTCTGTGAGGTTTTCTGATAAAAATCCAACCAGTTGGTTGCTTGTTAAAGTAGGAGAATTTATCTACAGGAGCCCCCATGATCAAGGCTTGGTCTTCAATAAAGTGATAATAAAATGGCCTGCTAGATTCAACGAGGTATGATGTCATTTCAATATTAAATTTATGCAGGGATATCTGAACAGAGCCCTGAAATAAATTGTGATTATTTTAACTCAGCATTAAATTTATCTTTTATGGCTTTATTTTCTATGATATAATTTTGCTTATACATTATCTATCTATAAATATAACAAGAACTGATTTTTATTAATAAGATAAATGTGTTCTCAGAAATTCACCTTCAGGCTATGTATGATACTGTACAAATATCATAGATAGCCTGGATATGTTATTGCCTATTATACACAGAAACTATATGGTCTAGACTATTATTTTATGGGAGCACTGCCATATGTTGACCTGAAGCCCTTTACATTTTGTAGACAGTCTGTATTATATGTTGGTATACTGTAAACACAAGTAGATTGTGAATGAAGATACATTCACTGGGCCAGATCATGGTTTGGATGCTAAAGCAGCTAGATCACATGTGGGTAGTGGTGACTACCCAGTTCCAGTCTTGTACCCAGCATGTGTGTGTGTGTGTGTGTGTGTGTGTGTGCAAGATTCCAAGAGGGGACTAGAGTAAAAGGGATTGTGGTGTGGCCATCCCACTAGGAAATGTTTTCTCACTTCCTCTCACTCTCTTTCTGTCTCTGTCTCACTCTGGTGAGAGCTCAAGCCCTATAACAAACTAAAAAGAAAAGAAAAAGATGGCATTCATCTCTTGGAAATATCATTCTCATTTCCCCTTGTCCTTTCATGTATAGTTTAGTCTTTGAATTTTCTTGGTCTAAGCATCTCAAAGCATTCACCATGATATCAGACAAATAAATTAGAAGGTGATTTCTGTAACAATCGTTCTTTATATGTGTGTTGGGTTCTTAATATCTGAAAAGCAGTGTCCCCTGTGAACTCAGAAGCCCAGAAATGGATTAACCAAAATCCATGGTTTATAAGCCATTCTCATTATTAATCTCTTGGTCTGTAATTTTTAATGATATGTAAACATATCAGATTAGGGTCTTTTTTCACATTATTATTTTTTTAATCTATAAGAAAAGTTTCCTAACCATCCAGATATTAGGAAATGATATAAATATACTGAGGATCTCAACTTCTCAGCATCTTTGCCATATAGTAATCTGTATTAAAATGATTTTGGATGAAGTGGTTAACTAACAGAAAATCCATGGGATAGTTCCAGTCATATATAAAATAGAGTGATTAGGTATCTTCTTAATATTTGGTAAACAGCTAATAAAGATGTTAGCTAATCATATGAAATTATTTAGAAGTCAATGTGATAGTGCCTAGCTCCATGGCCTGGTGGTTAAGAAAGCCAGATCTCACATGGTTGATTGCAAGTCTGAGTCCCAGAACTAGTAGCTTGAGAAACATGTTGGACTTATATGTATTCATGCCAAAACCCTCAAAGAAAAAAATATATGGAGAAGGAATTGCAGCATGACCATTCCCCACGTGGGATGCATCTCTCTCTCTCTCTTAGTTTGGAGTGCCTGCATCCTCTAGCAGAAGAATAAAATGGTCTAGGTAATATGAACATGGTTAAAATTGAGAAGATAATTATTCTGTGTGTGTGTGTGTGTGTGTGTGTGTGTGTGTGTGTGTACTTTAAAATTTTTACCATAGGGCATGTGTATTTACTGGAAAAGGACAGAAAAAGAGAATGAGAAATTACCCCCTTGAGGGATGGCCATGTCACAGTCTCTTGCATTATTTTCACCTCTTGAGATTTTGGGGGTGTGCGCATGCATGTCTGGCAGGATTTCCAAGCCTTTGTTCTAAATCTTGAACCATGGAGTTAGCCACATGGGATCCAGCATCTTATCCACCATGTTGTCTGCTGCTCCCTAGTAAAGGTATGTTAATTGACAATGCTTTCTCAGAGATAGACAAGAATGTAGACATCAATGCTGTGATACTGTACATAATTGTGACTAATGATTCTTTTTTGCATTCAGACTCCTGAATCTATGTGTAGCCAGAGCTGTGGTCTTGGATTCCAGAAAATTCTTCTGGAAAGAAGACCTGACTGTTGTTTTCTTTGTGTTTCCTGCACAGACACAGCCATTTCAAATCAAACAGGTATGAAATATATAGGTACCTTTTGATAACTCCACTCCATATATCTCCATAAAAAGAAAGCCAGTAATAGTGGAAATGTAATACAGAGAATCATTGTTCTCAATTTGTGTGTTCACTTACTGTTTCTATATATTTCATAAACATGATTGCTACCCTATTGTGTGTCACCACTTTTCTGGCTGTGCTCATCGTATCAGAATAAATTTTGAAACTGATTCAAGGTAAAACTTTCTTGCATCCAGTGCTGTATAAAACGGTTTTTATCTTAGAGCTCACACTGGAACATGTTGAAGTCTTCTAAAAAATCACCAATGCTACCTGTGAGTTAACATGAAAGTTTAAAAATGGCTATCATGGGAACCACCATCAGCAAAAGAGACAGTGAGTTCAAAGAGATCACATCACAGACCTCTTGCTGTATTCTGCCTATTCAAGTGTGTCTCTTACCACCTCCCTCCCTTGACCTTCACCATTAAAAACTCTGTGTCTTCTCCATAATGCAGCAACCAGCAGCAGTATAGAGGTGAAGAGCACAAAGGGACCATGTGTCAAAGACTGCATTTTGCCTGCCCAACAGGGCAGATTTAAGATTTTAAAGATGGCTGAAGTTTGTGATTCTTCCAGTTGACTCTTTCCAGCTCAGTCTCATTTGCACCTGGTTCTGAGAGACTGGGAAAGGAACCAATACCTGAAGCTGGACACATACACACTTCTCTGGTTGGAAGAGAAGTCCTTCTCCCAAGGACATACCTTAGAAGTAGAGCTCACCTTCTCCCCCCAGTATTACAGAATCAACTTCACACAAAGGTGTAAAATTGGATAATTCATCAGATGACCAGAAAACATCCAGAGTCATAGAAATACGAGGAAACAAGGAAATAGCTATCCCTCAAAGGAACAATTCATAGCACAAAAGAATTTGCAGAAATATCAGAAAAATAATTCAGAATATTCATACTAAAAAAACTAGATGAGATGCAAGAGAACAGAGACAATGTAATCCAGGAGGTGAGGAAGTCCTTCAAAGATTTGGAGAAGGAGATCGACATCATAAGTAAGAATCAAACAGAACTTCTACAGATAAAAACTCAATAAAGGAAATCAAAAACTTCCTTAAAAGTATGAATGGCAGATTAGAGGGCAAAGAAGACAGAGTCTCTTGTCTGGAAGACACACCTTGGACTTAAATAAAACCACCAAAAATAATTTTAAAAAAGAGGGCAACATAAAGAAAATACTAGACACTTTAATAGCCCAAGTTTCCAAATAATTGATATTTCAGAAGATGAATAATCTGATAAGGGCATAGAAGATCTACTCCATAAAATACTTGTACAAAACTCTCTAAACCTAGAGGAACATTCAGACATCTAGACCCAAGAACTACAAAGGACACCAAATATCATCAACATAAGACCTTCTCCATGGCACCTCATAGATGAATTGGGCATAATCAAAGGAAAAAAAGATTCTAAAAGTGGCAAGAGGAGAATGTCAAGTTACTTACAAAGGTTGTTCTGTTAAGCTAACATCAGACCTCTAAACCAAAATAAAAACAGCAAAGAAATAATGGAAAGACAGATTCAAAACATTAAAAGAATAACAGTAAATAAATCTAAAAATAACAATAAAAGAAATGTTCTGAAAGAAAAAAAGGATATAACAATATCAAATGGAATACTATACCTGACAAGATTATGTTTCTAAAGGGAAGAATAAATAAAATAATTTTCATGGAAATAAACACTGAAAGAATTCAGCTACATAAACCACCTTTTTAAGAAATACTGAAATGGGACCAGCAGCTGGCCTAATGGCTATGTTGCTGGACTCCCATGTAGTCAACTGCAGTTCGAGTCCCAGACCCAGTGGCTTAAACTTATGCTGGGCACGTGTGTATGAATGCCTAAAAGCCCTAGAGGAGAATGGAGGAGAAGGGATTGTTGTGTGGCCATCCCCCCTGGGGGTTAATTTCTCAGTTTCTTTCTCTGTCTTTCTGGAGAGTGCGCACACATTCTATAACAAAAACTTCTCAAAAATTTAAAAGTACTGAATAGAGTAGTGTATCAAGAAAGTTAAAGACAGATGAAGAAAAAGGAGGGATAAAAAAGAAAATGTCCAACAAAATGATAGGGATAAGTCCATAAGTATCAATAATAACATTGAACAGTAAAGAATTAAATTCTCCCATTCAAAGACATGGACAAGTTAAATGGATAAAAAAGGTGTGGGGGGAGCAATTTATAGGCTGCTTATAAGAAACACACCTAACAAATAAAGATAATAATAGATTGAAAATGAAGGGTATATAAATATTTTCCATGCAAATGAAAATTTTAAAAAGGGTGGAGTCATGATACTGACATTAGACAAAATAGAGTTTAAGATAAAAACTGTAAGAAGATACAAAGAAGGACACTATGTAGTACTAAAATGGCTAATTCACCAAGAAGATAAAAACATAAATATCTATGCACTCAACTGTGAAGCACCCAAATATGTGAAAGTTTACTAGATCTAGTAGACTGCAACACAATAATCATTGTGGATCTCAACACCCCACTATCTTCTTCAGACAGATCATCTAGACAAAAAAAAAAAAAATAAGCAAAGAGATACAGGATCTAAATGATACCATAAATCAAACAGACTGGACAGACATATACAAAATGTTTGTCCAACAACATAAAAGATACACTTTTCTGAACCCCACAAGGAACATTTGTGAAGTTTGACCACATGATAGGGCACAAAATTAGCCTTTACAAATTCAAAGGCATAGGAACTATATCCAGCATCTTTCCTGACCATGATGGAATTAAACTTGAAATTAACTGCAGAAAAAAACCTTTGAACACACACACATGTGGAAACTAAACATCCTAGTCCTATTTTTGAAAGACTTCACAAACACTGAAGTTAAGATGGAAATAAAAAGCAATTTATTGAAATCAATTATTATGAGTACATAAATTTTTTAAAGACTATTTTTACTTAACTTTATTTATTTTTAGTTGACCAGAGATTGTGGGGGGAGGGAGGGAGAGAGAGATAGATAGAGAGAGAGAGAGAGAGAGCCTCCAGGTCTGGGACTCAAACTGTGGTCAGCCATATGGGAATCCAGTGCCCTTAACCACCACATCACCTACTGGCCCCTGAGTACATGACTTTTTATAACCTATGTGACACAGTGAAAGCAACTGTAAGAGTGACATTCATGGAAATTAGTGCTCACAAAAAAAGAACTGAATGGTGGCAAATAGACAATCTACCAACATACCTCAGGAGTTCCTAAAACAACAACAACAAAATACCCAGAGAAATGAATACTAAAAATTAGAGCAGAAATAAGTGAATTAGAGAATAAATTAATTAAACAGAAAATAAATGAAACCAAAAACTTGTTCTTTGAAAAGATAAACAAAAGTAGCACAATGTTAGCTAGACTAATTAAGAACAGAGAAAGTAATCAGATAAATCTAATCAACCACGAGGCAGACAATATTACAACAGACATAACACAAATAAAAAGATTATTAGACAATACAGTAACAAACAAGAAAATGTGGATGAGATGGATACATTTCTGCACACATATAATCTACCAAGATTGAATCAGGAAGACATAGAAAGCCTAAATACACCTATAATAAACAAACTGAATCCATAATAAATATTCTCCAAAGAAAAGTCCAGGTCCCAATGGTTTCACTTGTGAATTCTATGTAACTTTTAAAGCACTAACTCTGATTCTACTCAAATTATTTCTAAAGGTCCCCAAAGCAAGGGCATAACAGCATAAAACTACAGACTAATATCTCTGATGAATATGGATGCAAAAATTCTCAAGATATTAGCAAACTGTGTCCATTAACACATAAAAAAATGATTGTACACCACAACCAGGTAGGCTTTACCCAGGGATGCAAGGATAGTCAACCACGTACAAAATCATAAATGTATTAAACCATATTAACAGAAAGATAAAAAGTATGTTTTCATATCAATCACTGCAGAAAAATAACTTCATAAAATACAACATCCCTTCAAAGTAAAGATCCTCAGCAAAATTGGTATACAAGGAAAATTTGTCAATAAAAGCCATCTATGAAAAAATGTATAGCTGGCACCATACTGAATGGGGAAACACTGTAAACTTTTCCACTAAAAACTGAAACAAGGCAGAGCTGCCCACATTCTCATCTCCTTTATACTTTTCACTATAATACTGAAAGTCCTAGCCAATGTAATAATGTAAATATAATAAAATAAAAGCCATTCAAACAGGTGGAAAAGAAGGAAACATATCTCTATTTACAGATGACATAATTATATACATAGAAAACAAAAAGAATCCTAAAAAGAAGAGCAACAACAAAAAACAACTCTTGGAATTAAAAAATTAATGTAGTAAAGTGACAGAATACAATATCAGCATTTAAGAATCTGAGGCTTTTTTTTTTTTTTGAGAAATTCTTGTTATCAGGCAAGAACACTTGCCAGAGAGAAAGAGGAACAGAAAGTGAGAAATCACTCTCCCAGGGATGATGGCCCATTTCATAGTCCCTTCTCTTCCACTCTCCTCTTAGGATTTTGAGCACACATGCACATACACCTGACGTGGATTTCAAGATGCCAGGTCCAGAACTTGAACCAAAGTTGGCCAGATGGGAGTCCAGCAACATAACTATTATGCCATCTGCTGGTCCCATCTACAGCATTTCAATACACTAACAATAAGCAGACAAGGTAGAATTGAAGAAAGCAACCCTATTTACAATAGCCACTAAAGATATAAGATACACAGGAATAAAACTAACCAAAGAAATCAAAGAACTCTACAAGGATAACTTTAGAAAATGAAAAACAGAAATTGAAAAATGACAAAATAAAATGGAAATTCATCTCATGTCCTTAAATTAAAAGAATGTAATCTAAATGCAAATTCTGCCCAAAATAATTTAAAATTTTAATGCAATCCCCATCAGAATATCAGACCT